AAAAACTTGCACCAAAAATCAACTAATGGAATGTTATCTCGAATGAGCACCAGGTGCGAGCCCAAAGGGAAAAGCAACAAGATAAGTGTTAAGAGATGGAATAAAAGTCGGCCAAAAGTCATTCATTCCATTCAATTCATTGCAAATTCTGAGTTACAAGAATGAAGTATCCTGATGAAATGAATACAATACAAAAGGATGGCACATCTATAAGTTCCAAGCTAACCCTATATGTTCCCTTGGTCTCTAGACCACACTCGACATTTTCCTCACCATCATTAACTGTCCCATCTCCTCGGGGAGGAGAGTCGAGCTGGATTATCATTTCATTATGTTGAGTTCCGCCCTCAGCAACAGGTGTAGGGGGAATCATGGAGGATAAAGGGGGAACATCCAAAGGTTGATCAGGTGAAGGGATAGGAATGACCCCAGAAGATGCAATCTCTTGGCATTCTGCAAAGATACGCTCGGCAGGAATGAAGTCCGAGTCAGCATAGACTCCTGGGGGACTGATCTTCAATTCCTTGTCAACATCATCTGGGCCGGCGTAAACAACTCTACACTTCAAGAATTTTTCCTAAGGAACCTGGTCGTGGGTTCGATTCCCACAGACGGCGCCATTGAAGATGCAAGAAATTTCTTGCTCGATTTGGAAAGAATAACTCTACACTTCAAGAATTTTTCCAACCACTTTTCTCTCTATTTTCTGCTTATTTATAGACTATCACAAACCTTTTAGAAGTTTCCTAACCAACCCCTTAGGCTGGGCTTCCTCTTGGGCTCTTCTTGATTATGGCCTGACCCTTTGGATTGGGCTTCTAGCCTCATCTTACATTCCTGGGCCCGACCCTTGAGGATCTGGTTGGAACCAATACCACTTACCCGACTCGCTTCTAGCGATCTAGGTCGCAACCGGCCCATGCCATTTTTGGCATCCTTATAAACAAATTAAATTTTCTGTTTGTTTTTAAAACTAGCCTTTCATTAAAAACTTTTAGGATAGTGATATCACTAGAACAAACTTTTTTTATGCGTGTTTTGGTTAGAAGTGTAAAAACCAATGTAGAAATTGTAACGGTAACTCAGTTTTTGAGGTAATTTAAGTACAACTATAGGTTAGAAAGCACGGAAGTGTTGTGGCTAGTAGTGTCCTAAAATTTCTTTTTGGACACAACGGAGTGTTTTTGTAATTTTTTTGTTTTTATTTTTGAAAATTAAGATGATTGTATATATATATATATATTTATATAATAATAATAATAATATATGTATATGATAATATTTACAATTTGGTTCTTGGATATAGTCAATGGATAAGCTGGGTTGCCCATGTTTTGAGCTGGGTTCTCTGTGTTGGGCTGTAATGTCCCTAAAAGGATTTTAAGTCTCTTGGGCTCTATTTGTTTCAATGTAAAATATTCTTTTTGGAACATATATATATTTTTTTTCAGGTAAAATATTCTTTTATTTTTACTTTATCAGTATTTAGCAAAGGTTTACGTCGAGATTGAGATAAAGTCCATCGGGCTGGACATGTAAAATAATTTGTCAAAAATTGATAGATAAGTTTTTTTTTTTTGTTAAATTTTAATATTTTTTTCTTCGTAAATATTTTACGACAACCAAATACCAGAAAATAAAAAAATATTTTTTAAAAAATATTTTAAGTCCAAACCAACGGAGCCTTAATCTTATTAGACTATAAAGTACAGTAATTGCTACTCTTTGATAAGGTCGGTAATTTGCCACCTATGTCTATTTTAGTAATTTGGCTCAAAATATGTGATACAAATCAATATTTCATTTGATTGAGATAAAGATTAGAGTCGTGATCATGATAAATAAGCAACATTTTACCTTCAATCCCTAGTTTGGTCGATTCAACAAATCTTATCAGCTAAAGACACCTTACAACATTATCCTATATAGGTCCTATATTAAAGCAAAAGTAAAAAAATAAGAAAAACTAAAGAAAATGACGTGGGGGATTGCGGACAAATGAATACGAGCACGTGAAATGTAAGTACTATTTGATTAAAGTAATCAAGGGATAAATAATGGTTTTACTCGTGATTCATGAATCATGTTAGCCTCCATTAATTCATTAGAGGCATAAAGCCATCAACAGGAACGTGTGAAAGATAAGCCAACTAAAAAGAAAGATTAATCACAATGGATCTCTCCTATTAATAAATATATAAAGTTCGAAACCGAAATCTCTACAACAAAGTGTAATTCATCCACTTGGATTACGAAGAAGTTCACAATTCAAATATTATTTCATTAACCTTCTAATTAATATATTCCTCTTAGGTTAATGGTTGATGAAGTCAAATGCATAATTTCTAATTAATATATTCCTCTTAGGTTAATGGTTGATGAAGTCAAATGCATAATTTACACATGCTGGCAAAATTAAAATTCAAAATATCACATTTATCCTTACTTTTTCAGTTCTATTACAATTTTTTTTTTTTTTTTTTTTTTCCTTCGTGAAAGTCAAAGCTAAATTCACACTTTCAATATTACTCCTAATAAGGGGCTTGAGACGTTGCACACCACCCCGGCTGATGCTCATTGGTACACTTCTCAACTTATAATAGAAAAACTGTCCTGGACAAAAAGGTAAAAGGCTTACTTAAGTTTGATAAGGGGTACTCATGACTTTTGCTTACTTATTAAACATGGGAGATCTATGTAGTTACAACACCTTCATTATAGCTTTTTTCAAAATGATAGTAGCGATTAGAGTTTCACAGTACATCATCATCGAGACATGGGAAAGAAGTGGGTTATAACAACTGTTATATTGTAAAAAAAAAAAATAAAATAAAAAAAATAAACAGGGAAAGAGTTGAGTAAAGGAAATTTTTAGAAAATGGGTTGCTTACGAAATAAACAAGTTAAAACCACAAAAGATTGTGTATCATAGTGAAAGGGAGAGAGTTTAAGTCTTCGTGCAAAACGAAGTGGGTTAATTAGTTCATTTGCCATGAAAAAGCAAAAACAAAAACAAAAACAAAGAAAGCTTAATGTTTTACAATTTTAATTTGTCTAAGCACTTATAGCTAAAGAAGGTAATCATGTGATTTTTTTTAACTTTAAAGTTGAGGGTTCAAGTCCTCATGAAAACATGTGAAAAAAAAAAATATATATATATATATATATATATATATATATGAAATGAAGAAGAATAAGAAGAAGAGAATACTCGTTCTATGATAAAGTCTTAAGAAGCTAGCTCACTTGAACCCCTAGCGCTTGACCCTTAACTGAAACTGAATAAGTGTAGTCAATACCATTAATTAAATTTTTTCTATATATTTCATCAACATTATTTTCAATTCCTACTTAAAACATTGCCTACTTCTTGTTGAGGTTGTGGAACTTGATCACTCGCAAATTACAGTTATAGAGAAATGCAATTGGTCACTTTCTTTAGACCGGTCGCACTTGTGTTGTGGAGCCAAAGTTGCATTCTGGTGCAACTGGTTGCTCTTGAGTAGTTCAGGTTACAACGATAGTTCCGAGAAGTGCAAAAGTTGAATTGGTTACACTTTCTTGTTATGTGCGAAAATTGGTTTCCTTGTCTATGTTGGACTCTCCGATTAAAGTCCTACAATTGTGGGCAATTAAGTTGTCTTCTTATATATAATGGGGTTTGTACTGACCTTAGGCATGTGTGACAATAGAGAGAGATTATTGTGCCTACACAAGACAGAGAACTAGAGTGAGATTAACATGAATGAATTGACCACAATGCGTATTACAAGGAGGATATACACACTACAAGAAAACAGGACTTTAGTGACAGTCCAAACCATCACTAAAAGTCTGAAAATTGTCAAATTAGTCCGTCACTAATTAAAGTCACAAAAGATCTTTAGTGACAGTAAAAAATAACTATCACAAAAAAAACTCAACCTTTAGGGATGGAACTTACTATTCCGAATAATACTGTCCCAAATATTTATTAGGGACGGTATTTACCGTCACTAATAGTTTATATATTAGAGACCATAATATATGTTTATTAGGGGACAGTATTTACCTTCCCTAATACTTTATTTTATTTATTTATTATTGTTGTGAGATTTATATGTACCACTCATCAGTGCACGAATTTTTGCAGATAGGGTTTACTTGTAAGGGTGTCATATCCAAGGAACTTGTGTAAAATAAGTTTGTCAACAGATTTCTTAAATTCCAAATTAACTTGAAAGTAGGATAATCGAATTGTGATGTTGAATTCTAAATTAACTAAATCGAAAAATAAAATAAACTAAAGAATAATGATTAAATAGGATGTAGAAAATAGAGAGAGTTGACTAGGGGTATGATTTCACCACTAACATCGCACAACCTGTCAATTGCATCAATTTATTGGAGATATACCATATAACATGCACAGAGAATTAATCATGGTTACAAGCACATATTAATTCAGCTGGAAAATAATATAATTTAAAGCTAAGCATGGACTATCTTCGATTGGTATAAACCATCTACCTATCTACTTTACTCTAGGGTGTAGCATGGTCTATCTTTTCTAGTCATAATCCATCAAATCTCTAACATTATATTCAAAAAAATACCATTGTGTAATCATCTCATTTACAACTATAAGAAGCGAATGAGTAGTGTTCAACCACAAGATTAAAATATCTAAGACAAGATAGAAAAATATTTATAATTGAATTAAAACTCTAAACCCGATTCTTATTAAAAAGTCAATTTAAAATCCTATAGATTACACAATCATACATGATAAAAATTGTTCTCCAATAATTAAATACAATCAAAACCAGTGTGCTAAGCTAGGGTTACATCACAACCCTAGCAAAGCGTTTAGCTAAGCATAACTGGAATAAAATTCTTCATGGTTGAGGAAGACAACTTCACTGCCATGGATCGATCTCTTCTTCCTTCGGAATGCTCCCTCTGATCTCAGCCTCAAGCTCCTCTATATGATGATTCAATGTTGTAGAGGACCCCTTTTAAATAATAAAAGATCAACCCTAAAGTTCCCTTTTTCATATAGGAGACATATATAGAAATTCTGTCAAATAAGGACTCCAAAATTTGTACAGACTTCTAGGCCAATTTTGACAAAGTAAACAACTATTTTAGGGAATCCTTGTGAATACAAATTGTAGCTCTTTGAATTTCCTTTCAACCATTGCGGGAATTTAGCCGTTTTGACACTCGAGGAGAGAGATACAACCAGATTACCAAAATAGGTTCAAGTTACCAACTTTAGCGAAAGTTTCCTTTTTGGAGAAAGAGTTTTCCCTTTCTTCTTCTTTCCATTCTAATCAACTTGTGGCTTCTTTTGGAATATTTTCGAAGTATAATTAGACTTGGATCTTTAACATTACTCGATCCCACGAAATGTCATCTTTTAAAGCTCAAAATCACTGGTCTTGACTGATTTTACAATTAAAGTCCTAAAATAAATAAAAACAATAAAGCAATGTAAAATCACAAATAAACTATTATTAAGAGAATAAAACATGCAAATAAAGGGGCTTAAATGTATAACATTCAATGCCTAACACACCCCCAAACTTACATATTGCTAGTCCCATAGCAATAAAACTAAAGAAAAACATAACTGCCACTTTTGTGGGAATCAGGATTGCATTTAGCGTATGCAACAAGCCTTTTAAACCCCTAGGTTACTCCTAGTGAACGAGTGAAGTCTCGTGAGAGTTTCCAAAGATGATACCCATAAACATACAACACAATTCAATCCTCTGGCGATTAACTTATTCTCATATCATCATAATAATCAAGGGAAAGACTACACAAAAGTACTTTAAAAATTATCATCTGACTATACTCTTTTGTCCCTATTTTCATATTTTATCTCAATGTTTCCCACACACTTATATAACAAGAACAATAGCAAAATCAATCCCCAATGTTGTGGAATTTGTGAATTAGCAAATCACTTATGTAGTAATGTCTTTTCAATTGAACCTAACTTCTATAACTTCAATTCCTCGGATCTTTTCTCAAGTTATTTTCTATGGCAAAATATTATTTTTTTTCTTCTTATCCTTACCACCACTTCTTCATGCGAACACTATATGCATATGAGACATAAGCCCCGATTACTCCATGAAAGGGTTACGAAATTTATTTATTATTTTTTTCCCTTTTTTAAAAAAAAAAAAATATCTCTACCATGGTAGTAACCTTCAAAGTTTACAAATTCGTATCCATCCATAGTCAACAAAATTCAACCGCAAATACAAATACCCATTGATAAAATTCTGGTGTGTATGTGAAATCCATCAAGGACCGACAATTACTAAAATTTCTATCATACTGGATAATGGAACCCACATAAAATAAAGTACGAAAGTTAGGGATTCAAGACGATCTTAGAAAAGAATTTTAAAAAGTACTTAAATGTCTTAATCCCCTTAACAATTCTAAAATAGTTGAATTAAGGTCAATATGCCAAAGAAAAATAATTAATTTTTTTTTTAATATATATATTTGTTTTAATAACTAGAGTAAACTCTATGCCTCCAAACTGGAATTAGACAGTGTCCTCACTGGGCAAAATTCAAAAGAAAGAAAAATAATAACTAAAAAGAAAAATAAAAACAAAGAATGAATACTCCTGACATGATAGCTGGAATTAAAGCGGTGGAGCATTGGGAGTAAGCCCGTAGTGAATCATAAGAGCGGACATCTTGTCCATCATTGACCTTTGAACTTGATGGATTTCTTAAATGTCAACTTTGAGTTGGTTCACCTCACCCAATGTTTGGAGAATTTGCCGTGAAACTTTGATTTCTTCTCCAAATTTGTGCAAGCAATACGGGCAATCAAGTAATGGTAATGAAAATGGGTATGGTGAAGGTTTGCTAATGTATATAGAAAAGGTGGTGTAGGTATAGTTATGAAGATGGATTTTTGTTAACTTTGATTTATACAAATAGAATTGGAGGAGTGTGGATATGGTAATATGTGGGATAGAATTTAGTAATGAATATGATTTAATAATGGGGTGATGGAATAATTTAATGGGTTTAAGTAATTGGGATGAGGCGGAGGAAAAGAGATGGGAAAGTATTGGAGGAGGGGAAACAAAGCCAAGTTTGCCCAAAAAAAAAAAAAAAATTGACCCGAAGCCTTTTAATATAAATTTGTTTTTTTTGGCTGGGCGATGGTCGCTCAAATACCAACTGGGTCTGTTGCTTCCGCCGTAAAAGAGATTGGTTGGTGCTGCTGGCTACTACTGTGATGCCATTTCGGCCAATCGTTTGCCGGGTATTTTCTATGGGGATCATCGGAAAATATATATATATACATATACGCCGGGGCTGAAGCTGCTGCTATGAGAAAAATTGGCTGAGCGATGGCCGCCGCCTTTCCGGTGTTGAAGATGCTTTTACTTCTATCTCGGAAAACAAATCATCGGAGCAATTTCCGGGCGATGGTCGCCCATGGCCGGTCAAATGATCGCCCGGCGCTGCTACTGGTCGTTGGAAAATAAACACCAGGTGACGGTCGTCGTCGAGTTGGGCAATGGTCACCTGAAAGCTGTTGTCCGTTGAAAATTCCTCCCCCCCCCCCCCCCCCCCCGGGCAATGGTCACACCAAGGCCAGGCAATCATTCGCCCGGACCTGCTTGTGCTACTCCGGAAATTCCATCCAGGCGATGGTCGCCCGGATCTGCTTGTAGTCCGAATTTTTTTTTTAAAAAAAAACTTCAAACAGCTATAACTTTGGCATCAGAGGTCTGTTTTGGACGAATTTTTTTTTTCATTTTGGGTATTTTTTTGAGATAACAATTATCATCAGAACAAGTTTTTTAAGTGCATATGAGGTTCTCACTCATTCCTCAACTTTGTTACTGAGGAAAAGAAAAATGGATAGTGAATATGAAGATTCACTGTCAAAATTTTCAGTAATAAGGACATCGGAGTACTTAACAAGCCTCGTTAATGTATGTTATCAATCTAATAAGAATAATAGCCAAAGTAACATTAGTAGTATGTACAAACATAATTTGCTCTATACTATGTTTTCTTAGCAGCCAAACAGGGTGATTATAGGTTTATTGAAGAGTGCTAACCATATAACAAGTAGCTATAAAACTCAAGGAGCATAAACATCACTATAAGAATACTTCTACACATAAATAAATAAATATATTACATATATACAACTACATATATGGCTATACATATGAATTGTACACAAATATATACATATATTAACGGATAATGATACCGGCGGTGACGAATCTGTTAGGGTTTCACACACACAATTGGCAAAGATAATAGATAAAAAATCACACACAAACAAAAATGAGATTTACGTGGTTTGGAAAATTGCCTAGTCCACGGGCAAAGAACGACTAACTTTACTTCAAAAACTTAATTACACACTATTCTCTCTCTCTCTCATAATCTTAACTCTCTTTTTCTCTCTACAATTTACTCTTCTCATACCCATATCTATTTATAGAGTCTTCAAACCCAAATCCTTGTTGGACAAGTGTTCCCCAACTTGCCTATAAGAAGTTACCATATCAATCCCAACTCTAAAATAAGAACTTTATGGGATGCAATTACCTTAACAAATTTCAACATTGCAAAACAGATAAATAAATTAAAAAAAGGAAATTAATTTCAATATTCCAAAACGAAAAAAAAAAGGAAACTAATTTTTATAGACAATTTTGAGCCAGAAACCCAACAATCTCCGCCTTGGCTCAAAATTGGTCTTCACACGCTCCTCTACAGCTCTACCTCGAATGAAAATCGCTCCACATTGAACAAATATTTCTCCACCTCAAATAAATCACTATAATGAAATTGAGAAACACTCTAACAATCTTCACCTTTTCTCAAATTCATCACTCTTCTTCTTGTCTGTAAAGACCCTGGATTTTTCAACCCAGTGTGTACTGTGATGAACCGAAAGTTGACCCAATAACGAATCCGAAATGCGGAAGCAAAAGATAAATCCAAAGTCTATAGAGATGCAAACCATCCCCAAGACACCAATGTGACCTTCCATAAAGTCACGGAACTCAAGGAAATAACCGGAAGCGAAATCTAACATGAAAACAGTCAAATGGTACCTTATGGCACCAATGACAACCAAAGGGACAAAATCTAGTTCAAACTAAACCAAGAACACCACTAAATGGCTTACACAAGAATAACAAAATCTAGTAGGAAGGAACGAAGCGATAAAGGCCTTAAGAAACAATCAACCAAACAAAACCTACAAGGCAGTTCCATTTCGGTCGACCGAAATGGAGCTTCGGTCTACCGAAATGAGCCAGGAAAAAGAAGCCTTCATTTTGGTCGACTGAAATGACAAACCGATCGACCGGTTTGTGGCTCGAAATTGAAAAAGGCTACTGGAATTGGAATTTTACTGTTTAATTGAAATTCAAAGGCCATCGGTCGACCGAAACAAGCTACCGGTCAACCGAAACATGTTGAAAATGCAAAAATGAACCTGTTATGCACCAAAAATGAAAAAAAGTCCCTAAAGCTTAATTGGATCCCCCATTACATGATCAAATTGAATTGTATGCAAGTGTGTGATAATGTGAACATACACGCAAGTGTAAAATAACATTTTAAACATGCTAAAATGGCCTATGGCCTTATTACAATTCATTTACAACATTTGACATGTCAAACCTCCAAGTTAGAAAAATTACATTTCATACTCAAAACTTAAACATGCTAACACTTGCATGTGAACAAGAATGCTTCTAAAGAAACTTCCATTCTGTAATTCACCCAAAGCAAGTGCAAATATCCAATCTTGTATCTTATACCTAAAATATGCCCCAGTAACTTTAGGGTGAGCAACATAAAGCTACTCGTAAGAAATGAGCATGCATCGACTTAACGTTTTACATGTTTGCATGATTTAAACATTGTGGTTCATTCAACCTAGCGTCTATGTCAAAGGTGAGACTTAGGGAGCATCCTAAGCTGCCTAAGATCATTTCCAGCATAAAACACATCATTCATGCAATTCAAACAACATAGGAGCATGCTTTACAAAGCGACAAAATATAGATTATCAAAGTCATCAACTTGAAATCTAAAATGTGTAAACAACTAAATATAACCATTTAGCATAATTGGAATTTCTAGTACCACACGTCAAGACATAGATTCTCAAAGTAATCAACTTGAAATCTAAAAGTGTGTAAACGACTAAAGTGGGTCATGCCACCTAACGTCTATGTTCCAAATGAATCTATACGATCATTCCTAAGTCACATTTGAACAATATAGCATAGATGTACTTAGCAACATCAAAATTTATAATGATTCATTAAAAATCATAAAACATGAATGTACTTAACAACATTAAAACATACTATGATTCATTCAAAATCATAATGCATAAATGTACTTAACAACATTAAATCGCCAATAACCAAAACCAC